CAAGTCTATGATCAGGATATGTCCAGTTTTCCCCAGTCCTCAGATTCCCTGCTTTAATCATCTTAACATATCCACTTGAATATATTTATTTTTTACTCATAAAATACACTTTAATTGGGTTCAAAGAGAATTAATTTAAAATATAGCAATCAAGGACAGTGCCAGTTGACAAGAGTTTCCACCCTTTCTGTAAGTAGCTTTAACAGAAACTCAAACATGTTAACTTGATAGTCAAGGAGACCATTAATTATAACTTAAAATACTTGAAGACACAAGAGCACAGATACTGTATTCACATTAATTCATATATGTAATTTTTATCTTATTAGACAGTTCCTATAAAATACCAAGTTTCTAATTAGGATTGTGGTGTAAAGAAAAAATAGGCAATTTAGTAGCTGAGTTTTTACTAAAGACGCATCAACTAACAGAGGTAAGACACTTATTCCCTCATCACCTTGTACCTTGTATTTAGCCAGTGTAAGATCATCCATTGGTGCAGAGGGCAGAGGTTTGCAGCAGGATCTGAGTCCTGCCCATAAGACTTGCAGCTCTGTGCACTTCATTACAACGACTCTACCCCCACCCCAAACCAAACGAAAGAAACTGTTGCTCTTGACTTGGGGAATATTTGGTGAAGGTGGTAATTTAATAAAGTATGTCACTAAATACAACATGATTTTACATTGTAAACTTCTTAAAAACTCAGTTGAAGATATTTAACATGCATCTTGTATGTTCTTGTAAAATATATGGGGTTATATATGCATGTTTTCAGTTTGCCTAGATGATAATCTATATAATTAAGAGCCAGGGTTGTAACAACCAATTACGACCAAAGGCTCAACCAGACAGTCTGGACCAGACCGGAAGTCAGTGCTGGGTTGCCGTGGTGACCCAGCACTGACTGCCTAGGGGGCTGCAGATCAGGCCCAGAGAGAGGCCTGCAGAGAGAGAGAGGCAGGGTCTGATCTGTAGACTCTGTGGCAGCCGTTGATCAGAATTTGCCTCTCTTTCTCTCCTGGCCTGCCCAACAGCCGCGCCTCCATTTCTCTCCAGGCCTTCATGGGGCTGCTGATCAGCCCTGCCTTTCTGATCAGGCCCCGTTGATAGGCCCAGAGATGCTGATTGGCATAGAAACTGACCAATCAGAACCAAATCTGAGTCAACTGTGAGGAGCTTGGGGGCAAGATCAGGCCTGCAGGGGAGGGCAGTTAGGGATGATCAGGTAGGCAGGGAGAGGCAGGTAGGGGCGATCAGGCAGGCAGGCAGAGAGGTTAGGGGCAATCAGGCAGGCAGGTGAGTGGTTAGGAGCCAGCGGTCCCAGATTGTGAGAGGGGTTCCTGATTGTAGTGGGTGCAGGCTGGGCTGAGGGAACCCCCCTCCTCCATGAACGAATTTCGTGCACTGGGCCTCTAGTATCATATAGCAGGGTAGGAGCCAGATGACTTGACACTTATGTCCTGGATGAGTATATAAACAGGTTGTTTATTTTGGCCCCTGAGAAATATTAAATGTTCCCTTGGCTCTCTAGTTGTGCTATAAAGTTTGTTCTGCTTCTGTTTTCATCAACACATTTGCAACCTATTTCCATGTTGAATGTGTGCTGCACTTCCAAGATCACAACAGTATTCTACATTTTCAAGATAGATTTCAGGTTTTACATTTTACTTTTATGTCTTTAATCCATCTGGAGTTTTTTGTGTGTGTGTGTGTATTGTAAATTAGGGATACAATTTCTTCTTTATTTAAGTTATCCAGTTTCCCAAATACCATTTACTAAATAATACATCCTTTCTGTACTGATTCGTGATATCAATTTCATCATTTATCAACTTACCATAGATGAAACTGTGGTGTTTTTTTTTTAATTGGTGAGAGAGAGAGAGAGAGAGAGAGAGAGAGAGAGAGAGAGAGAGAG